AGCAACAAAGCAAACTTGAGCTCCAAGATAGCTTTTGTCTGCAGCAGTACAGTCAGGGCTAATGCAGGTTACACTTAAAAACCCCAATTTATTGCTGTTTCTCTTTGAACAGGGTTTTAGAGTTGTTCTATTTTCCTTGCTTATTTTACATTCTGCTCAGCAGGCAATCCTTCTGACCTTCAGAAACGGGGTGAGAGATTAGGATTTTGTTAGCAGATTGACTGCAGCCTAAACATATGTCCTTTGATAAATCATAGCATCTTTGTTGTTGTCATTTTTGTGCAGCAGCTTTTCCTCCCTAATGGGTTAGTGATTATCTTGCACAGGTATTTACCCTAAAGTTTCTGCTCTCTGGATGCAAAGTTTTATAGTGTCATAAATTATATTCTTATTTGATTAAGAATAAACTTATGAAAATGGCATTTAAGATAAACTGTCCCCAGTCATGTTCCTTTAGTTTTGTATGAAACACTGAATTACATTTATATGGTGAACATAAATTAAAGCTTCCCACCCTACTCAAACAGATAAAGTCCTTAAAACAAACTTCCTGCTTGAGAAATTGAAATATTAAAATCCTTTAGAAAGAGTTCTACAGTGTTTAAAGCTGCAACAAAAGAAAAGGTTTCTGGAGGTTACTCCATGTTCCTATACTAAATTTTCAAGTAGACTGAGCTATGGAAGCTAGAAATTTGCTCAGAATCACTGAGTGCAGGTTCCTAAATCACCAGCCACTCAAAAGTTCTATAACAGTCCTTTGTCCTCAGACTACCCTTCCCCTGCCGTGGGGCAGTGTGGCTGGCTAATTACTAAGTGGAAAAATATTTGATCTTGATGCTCACCTAAGCCCAGGTTAGTGCAGAGAATAGTTCAGCTCGTTAGCCAGGAGCTCATCAGGTGCCAGAAATTGGGCTCCCACTTCAGTAGGCTGTCTTACAGCAGGGGTAGTATCTGCCTCTTATTAAAGATAACAAGTGCTCAGCCTTTATGGCTGTGGGAGCTTTTAGGAGTGTGTGAGTCAGATCATCAGCTGTGCAGGGTGCTGCAGGAGGAGATAAATGCTTCTTCAAGCTGCTCTCCTTAGAGCCACAAAGCTGAAAGTGTTGTACCAGCTGTGTCCCTGGTTCTGAGGAAACCTGTGCACCAGCCCAGCTTAAATGCCCAGCCTAAGCCGTTAATAGCAATTAGGACACCTGCTCTGTCCTCTTCCAAATGTTCCTGAATATATCTCGTGTGCAGTTCACATAGTTAGTGGTCAAACTGTAGTGGAGGTGCCTAAAGACAAATGTATGTGTTACCTTTGGTTCTCTACCAAATCCAGCCTGGGAGAGAATGCTTTGCCTGGAGCACAAAGGGTGGAAGGAAAAGGCTGTTAATCCAAATAAGATATGTTGATATTTGGATCATAATATAAGACTGAGGACAGGAGTTGCTTTCTTTCCTAAAGATGTTGGCATTGTCTGTTTGCACTGTGCCTCTGTGTAAGCAGGATTGTGCCCCCTTTGTCCTTTTTTTATTATGTATCTTGTGTTATTGTATAAAGAACAGTGTTGGGTACCCATGTGCTGAATTAGATGAATCCGCCTCGTTCTGAACAGCTGCCCCAGCTTTAGGTGGGATTGGCCCCTATGCAGAAGTTCAGTTTTGAGATCAGGTGTTTCCAATAAACTCAGGTGAGCCCATAGAAAAGGCTTTGGGTGGATTCCTGGTGCTATTTACAGCAGATCTTATTTTCTGTTTGCTACAGCCACATTTATATTGAAACAAACTGTTTAAATTGGTATATATACATAAAGCGTCATAGTACTTTTGAGACTTTATTTGCACTGGTCATTGTTCACAACAGTCAGGACACTCTGGTTCCAACATAAATCTGACCGGGAGATGGCAGTGCTGATTCGTGCAAGGAGTACCCAAAAATTCGAATACTTTTCCCTCAACTGACAGAGGAAAGAAATTACCTTAATTTAATTAGAACGTACAGTGTCTTAGCAATACATAGATAAATGTTAATGAAATAGACCTGTTTTTAGCTTTTGTTCCCGACTGGCTAATGCAAGTCAGCAAATTAAAAATACATGCAGGTTTTTGTCTAAATACTGGAGTCACCCTTTGACCCAGTAATGATTAGAGACAAGGATTTTGAAATTCAGCACCCTCCTACTCAGAAGTGGTGATAGCATTAAAAAGCTGGAAAGGCAATAGGTGCTAGTATTGTCATTACTGCATACCTGCTCTGTAAGCTGTTAATGGCTTTGCTTGTAGCTGTAAAATCAGCTTGTCCTACAGCTTAAATTTTAAAATTCTTGAGCCTTTTGTTTCAGCCTTATTGTCTTCCTGCCCTTATGCTATCTATACATGTGCATTGACATTGTGTTACCTGACCTGGTAAATGAGGAAGGAGCTTATAGGGCAGCACCTGAGCTTTCCCAGGATCATGAATCTGTCGTTTTGCTCCCATCAAAAGATGGGAATAGCCCTTGGTTCCAGAGATTGCTTGGGAAAATGAGTGTGGCCCTTATCAATGGGGTGCTGTTGTCTGTTAGCTGTCCTAATGTCACCGAGGTGGCTGAAGACCACTGCTGGACCCTCTCCATGGCTGGCTTTGCAGATGTTCAGCACAGAGTTAATTGGCACAAGGTCATCCCCAAATCCTGCAGGATGCACCAGGCATGGCCTGAGCTTGGTGGCTGTATTGTGCTGCTCTGTGTCAAGCAGCAGGCCATGTCTGTGTGAGCAGCAAGAGATGAAAACCAATTTCTTCCTGGGACCTTGGTGATTAGGGAGCTGAATGGGGTCCCCTGTGTGAGGCCACGTTGGTTGTCTGTGTCCCATGTCTGTTAATGCCATGGTGGATACAGGTAAAAGTATGAATGTGGGCTGGTATCATGGGAGAGCTGCACTCCTGCATCCTTCACCCTTCCTATGCCATTTGCTTAGAGTTTTCACATCTGAAAATTGAAGTGTGGACTCTTAGTGTTATAATACTGGTGCTGCTTGAACATCCTTGTCCAAGAAGGCAAAGGCTGGAGACCTGCACTGTGTTCTTTCACCCTTGGCAGGCTCACCTGGAAGGCACTGCAGCGATTGGGATCAGTGTGATAGAGCTGAGATTCTTCTGCACCCACCCACCCAGGCTGTTCCTTTTCCAATAAGATACATGTGAACTTAATCTTGCATACTTCCCTCTAGAAACCTGCTCTCCACATCAAAAGGCTGCTGGGGTTGTTATTGATGGGAAGGTGCATGTGTAGGAACAAACAAGGTAACACGCTGTAAGTTCAGGTGCATACTGAAAATGTCACTGTGCAGTCTGATGTTGGCAGCTTCAACTCGTGGCTTTTTGAATACCACAAGTGCCCTGTGGAGCCAATCTGACAGCACTGCCCGGGTGACATGAGCCTTTATTTCCTTTCAGAACAGCACAATGTAATCATTGTTTTTGTTCTTGTGCAGCCACAGACTCCCTTGTAAGCTCAAATTCAAATGGAAGAAACATCAAAGTTAATTTGAAATGAAATGCACCCCAAGTAGTCCAGGGGAAATGCAGACATTACTTTGTAGCCACCCTTCTCCTGCCAAAACTGCAGCACCCCAGATGTCAGGAAGCCACGCTGCGCTCTTTGTCTGCTCTTGATTGACTAGATTGTTTTCATCCCAGCCTTTTTAAAGATCTCCTCCTGCCTCCATATTTTTAAGGAATAAAAAGCTAATATAAGGACATGGAGTGTTATGAAGCATGAAGTTCTATAAATATTTATGCTGAACTATCAAAAAAACTTGACAGTTCTTATTTTCTTGACAGATTGGGGTCACTTGTTATTTTTGACCCTGAGAATTGAAGAGCACATGGAGTTAGATCTGTTTGTAATGACTTTTGGGTATTGTTGTCCAGTAAACTTGTAGGAATGTAACAGGATAACAGATTCTTTTCTTGGTGTCTTTGTGAAAATGGAACTTAAACCTTGCATTTGTGTTACCCACAAATGACCACCCAAGTTACTGTGTCTGTGCAATCTCCAGTGAATTCCTGTACTTTCTTTGGATTTCCCAGTTAGCTGCTTGGTTTGCCACTTCAGATGGACAGCTTTCACCGAGGCTGTTCTGCAGTGGAAGTACTCTGTGATCACCTTTATGTCTAGGAATGACAGTGTATTCCTGAGCCTGGCACAGGATGGTCTCAAGGCAGGCTAAAAATCTGGCAAAGCCTGTGAGGTCTGCAGTGTTTTGCCACCAGTCCCATCACTGCTTTAAATATCCCTGGAGGCAACAGAAGACAAACTCTGCTTCAAATTTTAAGTACTGATAAATAGGCATTTCAGAATCCTCATTCTATGAAATGATGTGCACACAAGCTTAACCCCTACCTGAAGCCAAAGTTGCAGGTGAATATTTAAAATCCAAGCCTGGCTTTTTTAGCAAAGCTGGAGCTTTGTGGCAGCAGCCACATTTTTCCATCCAGCTGTGGAGTCTGGTAAATTCATTCTGCAGGAAAGGATCAATCCAATGCTTTACCTTGAATGGCGTGTGGTGTTTATTTTAAGGTAAACCTTGGAATATGTTGTGTCTAAAGCTGACCAGAATGGCTTCTGCTATTGGTCACTAGAGGGCACAAAGGAATTACCAAAGAAAGAAGATTCTTCGTCTTATAGTTCTGAATCTCCACTTTAAATCTGTGAAAGTGTGGGGGGGAAAATTCCTGTGACTGCCAAAAGACAGGATGGATTCAAAATTTGGTTTTATCAATGATTTTCTCCACTCAAATCTACTTCCGTTTTCAAAGTTAAAAATTCCAAGGGTGCTTCCATGCTCCTGTTAGTATAATTTTGTGATCAGGAAGTACATGGCACTCAGAACAAATACATAAGCTGCTCATCAACAGCTTTTAAGTGCTATAATTACAAACCTGATAATTTGTCAGGTTTCTGTTCTTGGAAGAAGTGTTTGCTGTATGAAGAGGAAGCCAGCAGTGTCTGCCTGAACCCCTGGTTCTCTTGCAGGTTGCCTGTCTCATACGGGTCCCATCCGAGGTTGTCAAGCAAAGGGCTCAGGTTTCTCCTTCCTCCAGCACTCTCCGGATTCTCTCCCAAACCCTGTACCATGAGGTGAGTTCAGAGCAAAACTCCTGAAAGTTTTCATCCTTCCCACTCAGTGCCATACACGTGCAGAAGCATTCCTACGAGTTTATTCCAGTTCTGTGCTTTCCCAGCACTTTCCCATCTATTCTTCTGTTCTCAAAAGTGATTGGCATGTTATGATTGAGGAAACCAAACCCCCACCTCCCCCTGGGGCATGCACTTACATGAATGCTCCAAGCAACTCTTTTTTCTTCCTCTTTTCATATGGGATACTTACATTTTAAAGATGAGGGAGAGGGGGAAAAAATAGGGATTTGGCTTCCAGATTCCAAAGTTCTGCTTGTGTTTATGCAAACAGCCCATGTCAGGGGCAGCAGGACATTGAGTGTCTGTGTGTAGTTTGCTGAATGGTTCCCAGTTTTTGAAGCAGGCTTTGCAGGGGATGTCCAAAAGGCAACATTTCAGAGGGGCTCTGGAGGAGCTCTGGAAATGAGTGCTCATCCAGTATTGGTTATTTTTGAAAAATAAGGGCCTTTGTCTTCTTTTCAGGAGTTATGCTGCTCCCTCCTGTGAAAACCTGTTCATGTCTGTTTTAGCAGAGTTCCACATGGGGGGATTTTCAAGCTGTGTTCAATGAGAGAAAGCAGCTCCTAAAAACAGTGTGGGGAAAAATATTGTAACACATTTTCTGAGTGTAAAACCCGGGGAAAGAAAGACATAAATATGACCTTTAAATGATCCACTTGATTTTTATTTGCTTTCAAATGGAAACTATTGTGATAACCCTGCACAAGAGGGTCACTAGAACTTCTTTCTGTGACTTGATTCTGCTTTAAAAGCTGATTCTGTCAAAACCATATGTTTTTCCCTTTCCATATAGCTGTCCAGAGAACCTTAAGCCTTGCCAAACACTTGAATTAAATGCCCTATAATAATAAACAACATAATTTTATATACACTTATAAAATAACTTTTAATTGTTTTGAGTATTTTCAGCTGGTTAGAAATATAAAACATTTGTCTTGATAAAGGCTCTGAATCAAGGCTAAGGAGGTGAAAATAAAACCCTCTGGCACTGTAAATAATGGAATACAGTACACAGTGTTATAATCAATACAGTCAGTTTGAAGCTGAGGTGTGACACTTTAGGGCTGTAATGCTTGCCTCATAATCACCAATAAATTGTGGTCTTTGACAAACTCATTCCCTCTGGATGATGCTTTCTTTTGTTGCTCTACAGGGTATTCAAGGACTTTATCGGGGTTATAAAAGCACAGTATTAAGAGAGGTAAAACATTTGTCTTTTTCTCTTTTATTTTTTTTCAATTGCTTCCTTTGCCTCAGTTTTCTAACAAGAGATAATAATACAATTGAGATCAGTTGCTCTAACCTTAAGCTCTAAATCCCAGAATATTTCATTCCAGGTAAGTCACCAGCCTTTAATTTAAATAGAATACTGATAATGAGCACTAAGAAAACCGTTGATACATGCAAACATTCATTTGCCATCCTGTCTCCCAGTTCTGTTGCTGCTAAATTGAAAAAGGATGGAAAAGTATATATTAATATGAGAAAACCATAAACTAAAGTACTGGAAACTTTCTTGAGTCTTGTGATTGCATCATGTGAACTATATATGCCAACAATGGTGAACTGGTGGCATCAGGCCAAGTTTAGCACAGACAGATTTAGGCTTTCTTTAAATACATTTGTCAGCAGATGCCAAGGGATTATTTGTCATCTGTATATAGGGAGGATTGTGCTCTCTCTTTTTTTTTTCTTTTTTTTTAATGTGTGAAAGAAATGCATTTAGTCACCCAGTCTGTAGATTTGATATGGCATTACTTAACTCTAAATCAGAATTATTTCACTGTTAGAAAAAAAAAATAAAAAGAGGGCTAAAAATATTTTGGCCCACTTGGAAGAAAAGAGTTCCTAAACTAAAATCTTTTCATAAATGCACTGTGAATTTCAAGATTAGTGTCATGGAAGTGCTTGATATGCTTTGTGAACTGAGGGCAGATTATAAAAGAAGTAGAAAGACCTACTGATAAACTGCCAGTCTAAAATTGTTTCAGTGTCAGGAGACCACCTTTTGACAAAACAGAAGTTGCATGATGTATGTGTACCTCAAATAGAGAGATCAGGCTTGGTTCCTAGGAAAACATAAAATCACAGAAAGGTTTGGGTTGGAAGGGACTTTAAAACCCATCTTGTTCCACCCCCACCTTCCAAAGTCCCAGGCTGCTCCAAGCCCTGTCCAGCCTGGCCTTGGGCACTTCCAGGGATCCAGGGGCAGCCACAGCTGCTCTGGGCACCCTGTGCCAGGATCTCAGCACCCTCCCAGGGAGGGATTCTTCCCTGGAATGTGTCTGGACACAGCCACTGGTGTCTAGGAAGGGCTCTATGTGACATTTTTGATGTGGTGTGTGGGTTTGTCTTCTCCTTATGTAATTCGAGTGAATACAGTAGGTTTGGATCTTCCCCCTTTGATTTAAACACAGGCTCAGATCTGTTGTCTGTGTTGCCATTGATAATAAAACCAGTTGAAGAGGCTTTTTATTCTTCATTCAATAGCTCTGTTTTTTAAAGCCTTTCTTCATGCTGAAAACTCTTTTCAGGACAGTTATGTTGGCCAGCTCTTGTTACAAGTACAGAATAAAGATAGGTTTTACCTAAAATAAGAAACACCAAACTTAGTGTTCCATAAAGTGCTGACAAATGCTAATGCACTGTGGTTTATTTTAGCAGTTTTGAGTGTTTAAAAAATTACTTATTTGTGCAAAGATGACACCTGCTTTTCTGAAATGTAACCCTCACCATAGCTTTGTCCTGTACTTATTTTCTGGCTCACTAAATGTGTTATAAACTCAGATTTCATTTGCAGACAGGGAAAAAGGCGAATGAATACGAATCATTTTGATTTCTCAGAGGGGTTCTGAATAAATGAATAAATTTAGATCCCATTGAGTACAGATTTTGCATACTAACAGGTAGATAAAGCACATGGTTGCTACTGTGTGCTATTCTCCTTAATATTTGTTTTGACATATGTCAGGGTGGTAATTAATTTACAGACCATATTCATGGCACAGTGTGTGACCCTGCTGAGATAACTTTGTTTACTCAAAGTGGCAACACTTTGTTGGAAATTTAATGGGAGTCCTCTCCATTATGTATATTCATAAAAGATCCTTCAGAACTGATTTCAGTTGAAGTATTGCTTTTTGGGAGAATCTGTCCAATAGAATGAGAAATAAATGATTACTAAATGAAATGTGCTTTCTCTTCAAAATAAAACAAATCATAGGTGATGTTTAAAAAGAAAAAAAAAATCTTTGAATTTAACATTGTTAAGTCTGATGCATTTTTCTGACACTAAATTTTGTAAAGCAATGTCCACTCAGGTATCAGCTTTTTGCACCTTCAGCTGGAGCTGATGTAAGCCTGACATTTAATCTTGGTATTTTTCCTTCTCTTTGAGTACACCACTTCCTTTAGGGTCTTTATTTTCAGATAAAAATCTATATTAATTCAGTATTAGACACATCCTGGTAGCTACATAGCATATATCAGCTGGTACTTAATTCCAGCTGACTTTTATACTTACATTCTTTGGTTCTCTACCTACACCAACCCCTTTGTTTAGTTATAATGGATTGGGAATTTTTGGATAGAGGGTCTTCAGTACATGATTTTTCATTAAAAAGATTGGAAGAGGCTGGGAATATTGATGCTTTTCAGATGATTATATTCTTGTGCTGGCAAAGTTCTTGAGCTGGAGTTTAAGAAAGGTTAATTTTAGCTGTTGCATTGGGATAAAATTTTGTGTATTATATCAAGCAGATTTCTGGACAGAGATCTGCTTGCCAGTTGATGGAATTTCAGTGAAAATTAGTCTGTTTATAACTGGACTGTGGTGTGGAAGCCTCATCTTGCCTTAGCATAGCAAATTTCTTCAGGACAGCCTTACTGTGCTCCATGTAACTGCCTTTAGCTGCCGTGCTGGTGCAAGGTGGTTGTTTCATCCTTCAGTTGTGATTCTCAATCTGACTAACCCCCTTTATCTCCTCAGAATGCTTTCTGAGCAGATGGATATTGGAAGAGAAAGAAGATGGCTAAATACATAATGCTTTTGGAAATAACTTTGAGTGAACCTCCAGGCTTGAAAGTTTTGGCTGTGACTCTTTTCACCTTTTTGGTGCCTCTTCTTTCACATCTCTATTACATTTTGGTCTTTACATCTTCCTTTGATGTAGTTACACTGGACTAAGCCTAAAATGGAAAGGGAGGTGAGGTACAGTGCATCATTCTGTTGGCAGCAGAAGCTTGAAAGAGACATCTGTGCTCCAAGAGGAAGGCTTTTGTAATAAAGCACAAAGTGGGAGTATGGTTATTAGGTTGCTCAATGAGACTTTGAATAAATGGCAGAAATCAGAGGCTGTGAAATGATGTGGAATTCCCATGATGTCATTTCCAAAGCAAATCCAAGTGAGAATTGCCCCTTCCTATGGCTGTAGTGTACCAGTGTGCACCACTGTGGAAACTGGATCATACTGCTAAGATCAGTCAATGAACAGGTAAATTTATTCACATTTTCCGCAACAGAGAAAAGTTAACTGGTAAAATTTCCAGCCATCTCATAATAAGGCAGGAGCAGACTATAAATCCACTGCAAATCCTTTAGAATTCCTAAATGGGGATGGAGTTCTGCTGCTGAGATCTTATATAAGCAAATGGAGCCAGATTTTTAATTCCTGCATAATTCATTTTATTAACTATGACCAAGTAGAACATCTGTTAAAATTCCATAATGTTCAGTTCATGGGAAAAAGAAAGAAACCCCTGAGTTCCCATTGGAGCTCTTCCATTTCCGTTTGTGTTACAGGACTCCAGCAGATGTCTTAGAGGACTTTATTATAAATGAGGGGACAGCACAAAAGAAAAGGAAGTGCTATGTCCAGTTTCCCTGTATACAGTGGGTTACTTCACTGGCATGTCTGTGTGCAGGTTGCAGCTTCACAGTAAATCTGGTGTCCCTTCTGTCCTGAATTACCATGGTTTGGAAGAAGTGAACGAGTCCAGAGTGGGTGTTCCGTGTGCTTTTAATCCAGTTTGTCACTTGTAAAAATATTTCAGATGGGCTGGCCTCTAGCTTGGAAGAAGATTCAAAAGGAGCTAAATTAATATTAAACTTCCTTAAAGACAAAGGAGATGGAGAATGACTGGCTGGCTGTAACTCACAGATGTCTTGGGAAGAGACTGAGAGTCACTTCCCAATGTCAGTCTTTGCTGTGCAGGTGGCCCTGGCTGAGCTTGTCCTCTTAGACTTTTCTGAGACAATTCAAACTCTGCTTGTGTTGGCCTCCATTCAGGTGGAGGTGGCAGTGGTGCTTTACTTGTCAATGTTGTTTCAGAACTCACAGGTCTGAGTTTGAAAGGAAACCCCTGACAAACCTGACCCCACCTGGGTACCACAGGCTACTGGCCTTGCTTTAGGTGAGACAGCAGAGTTGTCACTTTGGGCAGTCCCAGTTCTTCAAGTTAGTGCAGCTCTGGGTTGGTTTGGACTTTGTGGGTTTGTGTTTTTCCCTTCAGTATATGCAAGGCAGAGCCCAGAGTGGATAAAGACAGCTGCTGTTGTCTTGGGAGGGAGGGAGTGATGGAATAACTTTGGGAGGAGGGACAGCAGTTCAAAGTGTGCTGTGGCATTAGAGAGTGGCAGCAGTGTCACAAACAGCAGCAAATTCCAGAGAGCCAAGGAGATGTTACATGTCCTTGGAGGAAATACTGCTTGTTGTGTGTTCCACACAACTGCTGTCACTTTACAAGATGTGTCTCAAAAGGGATGGGGAGGACGTGCAGTGCAGCCTTTGCAGATGAGGAAGGAGCTAGAAGTAATTAAAAAACCCAAAACAAAACAAAAAAAACCCCCATCAAACCAAAAAAGACCACAACAAAAAACCCTCTTAAACAACTTACTGCTGGCAGAGGGAAAATAAAGCAACTAGCAGCAAAATTGGACTTTAAAGGCACACCTGCTTGCATTTTTCTAATTTTAAAGGGTTGGTGAACAAAGGATGCTGAGAGGAGTTTGTATAAAAATGTAAAACCCAGCTGAGATATGTCGACCCTGTTGACTGAAGGTTGGAGGGGATTTCTGAGGGCTGAGCTCAATAGGGCACACTGCAAACAGGGAGTTTGTTTATCCATTTAAGGTAGTTTTGCATGCTTTTCTTTTGTTAGGACATCTTTATATAAATATCCTGTTCTCTGAGCTGTTAGAGA